ATACAGAAATGATCTAATGAGCACCGGTGCTCATCTTATCCTAAGCACCGATGAGTTGGCACATTAATTCATTGGTGGATAAAGATTTTGTGAGTTCCAATCCACCAATGAATTAATGTGCCAACTCATCGGTGTTTAGGATAAGATGAGCACCGGTGCTCATTAGATCATTTCTGTATATATATATATATTCTCTATTATAAGGCCTCATGATTCTTCCTACTCCATTTTCCTAGAAGCATTCTCAATAACCGCCTGCCAAAGAACATGGAATGATATATTTTTATGATTACTGGACAATGCTATTTTTGCACGTATTCCTTGTATTGTAATCTGGTATTGTAGTTGGGGGTGAAGGGGTTTGGTTTGGATAAGTTTCGGTTCTATTCCATTTAGATTTTACTTATTTCAGAGTTAATTAACTTCTGTTTGACTCACCTGTTAATTGTGGGGGTAATCAGGACAGAGCTTTGCCGCTTCAGTGGTGCCAAGATATACCCAGGGAAGGGTATCAGATTTATTCGCTCAGATTCCCAGGTGGATTAAGACTTTGGTGCACGATTTATTCAATTTCTGTTACATTATTACCTTTTGCCTAGTTTCTTCACTCATCAATTTTCACTTTTTTTGGGACAATTCTATACATTTTTGTTTTTCCTATTTTATTATATCATTTGGTGAAGGTGCATATTCAGTTTTCACTTTTCACCCAAGGTTTTTTCCTTTTTTTTTTGTTTTTTGGCGATGAAGGTCTTCCTCTTTGCCAACTCAAAATGCAAGAGGTATTTTCACAACCGCCTGAGGCCTGCAAAGCTTACCTGGACTGCTGTGTACCGGAAACAACATAAGAAGGTGAAATTTTGTAGATAATTCATAATTCCTTTTCATTTAACTTCTTTTGTGTCTGAGATTGATAGGAACCACCTGAGTATTCAATGAAAAAGATGAATAATTGCAGAAATTATAGAACTGTATTGATTGCAAGATGCATTGCAGAAATAAAGGAAATACAATCAGTCTTTCGAGAGGGCCGTACTCTCTACGATATGGTTTTCACTCACTATTTTGCATGCCCAATCCTTCCCCCCTTTCTTTATTTATAAGCTACTTGTAACTGTTTTTCCCTCCCATTTTTTACTCTCTAACAAACTAGTTTTCCACCTTCTTCTAGGTCCTTCTTCTTCTAGGTCCTTCTAGAATGCTTGAGGTGGATAAGAGCCTATCAATACCTCCAGTTTCCAAATCCACCTTGTCCTCAAGGTGGGAGTTAAGGAAGTGTTGGTGTTGCCAATTGTCTGCTCTTCCACTGTCACAATTTTGGTAGGGAAGATTTCTGTCCCCTTTGAAGCCCACTGATTTTGAAGAGTAGCTAGCATGGTGTATTTGTGTCCACTTGCGTCTTGGGCTGCCATACCCACTTGATTTTTGTCTTCATTTACTTGGGTCATCTTCATAATAAAGCCCAACCAACTAAGCCATAAAAGAGAGATTCAGCGCAGG